CCTGAGGATAATTACTTGTAATAATGAGGCTGCACCTGGAGCAAAAGTAATCATCTCCTGGGAACCAGATTGCTTCCCTTAACTGATGACAGTGATAACTTCTTCTTTGAAACCCCTCACCAAACCAGAACTGAGATGATGACCAATCAGGCTGTGCTTTAACTGGGACTGCTTAATTATGCACTTTTCTCCCCCAACCCCTATTCATCCTCTATTTAATCCTAAAACTCATGTCTGTACCTTGGAAGATGGGCTGAAATGCTTACTTTGCCTCTTCCAGTGGCATGCCTGTGCTGTGTTAATGAATTTCCTTTCTCTGTCCTTCACTACTACTCATCTCCTTATTTAGTGTATGTGGATGAGTGACTGGACCTTACATGTCGGAACTCCTGGAGTTAGGCTTGTGGCCTAGAGCACTGGTTATAGTCCGAAGGGAATGAAGCAGTCTAGGCCCTGTGAATGCTCAAAAGTGACTGGCCATGGCTCCCTTCCATGATGGAGAAACTGTTGGGAAATGGATCCTGGTAAGCAGGACAGGGTCATAGAGATGGAGGCAAAAGAAGGTCGAAGTATAAGTGGTAAAGGCAAAAGAGATAGATTCAGAAATCAAGCCAACATAGTTGTATTTTTTTTAAGTGTACAAAGTTTATTGAGGGGTACTCACAGTAGCAATATAAGGAGAGGAAGGGGTGACTAAAGCAGGGGCAGGTACAAGAAGCAGCTCAGCTGGTATAATTGCAATAAAGGCCTTACCCTTTCCACAGTGAACTCTAGAGCTTGAATGGCCTTTCCGGGTTGTCCACTTAAACCAAGGGGTTAGGTCTTTGTATCCCTATATCAGTATTCACTGAATGAGGATTACCTGGGAGAAGGTGTAAATTTAGACAAGGCATATCTCTTCATCTCGAGACAATTCCTGGGGAGCAATTCAGCTGCAAGCCATATATAGACATTTCATATAATATGGCTGGGGAGAATGAGTAACTCTGAATGAGGGGGTCTTGATGGCACTTGGGGGCCTGATGACACCTCATTGCCCTTCTCTCTTTCATTGTGGTAGTCCTGAGTTCTTGCCTAGATGTTGTTTATCTCTTTGCCTAGGGCTATCGTCTTGAATCCTTCATCTCTGCCATTGAATCGTCTCCTATGGGCTGGTGATTATTTTTTGGAAGGAAGTCTCTGAGGCTTATGCAAGAATGATCGGATGTTTTGGATTGTTCAGAGTAATTCTCTCAATTACAAATATATTTAAAAGATCGATTAAATATTCTGAAACTTACTAGAACTCATTCATTACACAGCTTAAAAACTATCAATGTTTTTCTTTTAAGTAATAGAATTTGTTTCTTTGTGTGTGTGGTGGTGGTGGTTGTTTACATTTTGTGTTTACAAAATGTGGTTTCTTATTTTTATTAGCATATATTAAATGTATAAAGTGTTTTCATTGTGACATTCCTATACATGCATATAATGTGCCTTGATCAAATCATCCCCTCTATTACTTTCTTATCCCCTCCCTCCTTTTTAAAACAATGTTTACAGGTTTCATTATTCTATTTTCATACCGGCATAAGAGATAATTTGATCATATTCAACATTCCTTCACTCTCTCCTTTCACCTCCCCCTTCCTGCTGGTTCCTATCCCCAAACAGTACCCCCGTTTTAGACTTGTGTCTTTTTTTTTTTTTTTGGTCTCAATTCCACCCAACATAGTTTTGAATTCTAGGCTTAAAGAAGAGAAAAGAGAACTCTGGGAAATTAGAAAAGCGATTTGGAATGATATCTTACTTCTAGAATTTTACTTTAGTCTAGAGATTAAAAAACACAAATCGCCTATAAAAATGAGCAAAAGAAAAGGACTGAGGGGTTGGCAGAGTGGCTCAAGTGCTAGAGTGCCTGACTAGGAAGTGTGAGGCCCTAAGTTCAAACCCCAGTACCTCCCAAACAAGCAAGCAAACAAACAAAACAAAAAAGGAAGAAGAAGAAAAGAATTGAGGTAAAATACCCAAAGTGTTAATACACACAAGTAAGAAAATAAGAAAACGATGAGTTAATTAACATTCTTATAGAAAATGAAAGCAGGTCAGAAAGACATGGATGTAAAACAGATTAAGAAATAATCTACCATTTGGATGTGATCTAATATACATTAAAAGTGATAAAGCAGAAAAGCAAAAATCAAAATTAGAAAAACTTAGAAATGAGTAATCAAACTTAGGAAAAGATTATAAATAAAAGGGAAAAAATCCATTAAACTGAATAAAATATATTCATAAGAAATGAGAAGTGTAGAGGAAACCAGTCCCTAAAGAAAAATAATAGTCTGGAAATACATAAAGTTTCAGTGAACACAGTTCAACAGTAGCTCAAACAGCATACAATTTCCCAAGGAAATTACTCACAGGAAGCCAGTGATAATTTATGTCCATGTAAAGAGTTTCCACAAATCTTCAGTGTTTTTGTTTGAAATAGCAGTTTATGGTTTCTGCTTTAACAACTAACTATCCAAGTACAGTGGAAATTCCTTCTTCTTCAGATAGAGATTGATTCCTTGAAAGTAACATCAGTGCAGAATAATACTGCAGCAAAACCAAAAACAAAACAGTGTGAATCTTCAGTAATTGAACTCCTGAAGAACTCAGGAGGCTTAGAATTCTGCTGAGCAGAAGAAAATCACAGAACAGAAGGTCTTGGTTATTTCTCACACATCTAGGAAGGAAGGACAGACAGATTTAAGACTCTAAAGTCCAAGTGTGGATGCTTCCCACACCTTCCATCCTGTGAACTCAACAGAACTTAAAGAAAATTCACCCAGCATTTAGTTCTACATCCATTCCTCTGCTGAATATATACATCGGAAATTCTGCTTATTTTTTCAGCAAAGAAGTATTGAATTAGAGTTATTTATTTTCCTTTTAAATCCTTCCAGATCAACCACAAAGTACAGTGTGTACTTCCTGGGCTGTAAGAGGACTTGGTGCACAAAGCAGATGATCATGAAGACAGTGTTTGTTTGTTTGTTTTAATCAATGTGTTATGAGCATCTCTGCTAAGCAGGACTGGTTTCATGGGCTTCCAGCACAAAGTCTCATGTTCAGAAGAGCCTCATGTTTGATTAATGCTCTCTGTTCCCACCTTGAAGTTCTTAGTATTGTATCTTTGAACTTTTGTCTTATAAGTGAATCCTGATAGAACCAAGGGGTGTGTGCGTGAGCAGAGGAGTATGTGAGATGTCTGTCTGCCGTTGGTTCATCCTCTCTCAGTGGCACATAGCGTATGCCATGCCCATGTGCACTGCATTCTGGTGGACCCATGATGCATGAGATATTCAAAGTGAGTACAAAGTCATTGTAGTATGTTTGTGACTAAGCCAGATCTCTGGCAACCCCGAGAAGCCAGGTTTCCCATGCAAACTAGAACTTGCTTCAAATGCAGAAGAAAGGCATTTGCATTTTAAGAAACACAAATGACCAAGGAACCCTTCATGTATGTACTTGTGCTACTTTCTTGTATTAGTCATGCACTTATGCTGAAAATAATGATGTAGAAATACAGGGAAACCCCATAGTAATTTTTCCTTTTATTCTTTTCTTATCAGTAAACCAAAGGTAAAACAAGTTGGAAGACTATATACATACAAAGAAGTAAAATAAAAACAGTTGAGTTTGTTTGGTGCAGCACTACTACTGTTTGGTAAAAACAAAATACACATGCATGTGTGAGCTACAAAATATGGATCACATAATTTTGGTGTTATGTTCGGGTTTAAAACTGAAATTGCACAATATAGTAAATGAGTGGTAAAATGTATGTAACAACTTAAAATTTTATTTTTTTCTTAGTTAGAATGACATTAAATAGCAAAAAAAGCACCCACCCCCAACAACAACAAAAACAAAACTCCAAAAAAGAAAATGACAAAAACCTATGACAAGTTGAGAATGTAATTGTATAAGAAAGGAAAAAACATATTTTATACCTTTAATGGCATTTAAAAAAATTTTTGAACAGTGATCCCACATTTTCATTTTTCACTAAGTCCTGCAAATTATATAGTTGGTTCTGTGCACTGTACATTTGGGAAATCATTGTCTCACAGATTCCTAGTATTTATTCATTTGATGAACTTTGGATGAAAATTTTATAAACATCCCATCCTTTTCACCACTTCTTCGAACTCCCATGCAAATTCTGAGTTGTTGGGTAGAAGTCCTGATCTCATTGGAATTTTTTCATTGGAATCAAGCCATATACTAGAGAAAAAAAGAGCTGCTCTCCTAAGGTAGAAAGACAGAGTAACTATAATGGTCATTAACTCATGAGATTTTCAGCTCTAGAACAGGTGTTGGTGAATTAAATCTGGCCTGCCTTGTGTTTTTGTATAGATCTTGGGTTTTTACATTTCAAAGTGGTCATAAAATCAAAAGAATAATATTTTATGACACTATGAAATTATTTGCAATTCAAATTTCAGTGTCCCTAAAGTTTTACTGGAACACAGTTGTGCTCATTCATCTATAGTCCATGGCCATTTTCTGTTATGACTGAGTTGAGTAGTTGAAAGAGAACTTATGGTTGGCAAAGCTGAAATATTTACTACCTGGGCTTTCATACAAAAAGCTTCTAAACTTCTCTAGGGAAAACGGTCATTTACATGAGGCTCACAGCTGTGGATCTTTTCAGAGACTTTCCTGTTTACATGTGGAATGGTATCCTATGAAGTGTTCAGAAGCCGGAAGAGTGCGATAGACATGTGCCACCTAGCGGTGGGACTTCTCAGTCCCAGGAGAATTTCTGAAAGTTTCCAGATCATTATCTTGTGCAGACCTGGCGGGATTTAAAGATCAGGCCTAGACAACGTTCTTTAATGCTTAAATGCTATGTGCTGTATAATAATAAATGCTATTATTTAAAAGAAGAGTGAAATTCAACTAAGATATATACTCTGTACCTGTCTCCCTAAGGAAAAAAATCACAACAAATTATTAGTCCTCAGTGAATGGAAATGTGTATATATCAACTTTTATTTATTTGAAAGCAAACACCTAACATCTTGTAAAAGTCACTAAGAAAACAGGTATTTTGGCTAAGTAACTTATCTTTTAGAGTAGAAAGTGTTTTTATTCTCCCTTATATTTAGAAAAATGCAGGTGTACTAGAGCCTTTCCCAAGTTATTCTTTTCCCGGCAATGACAGCTAGAAGGGAACCCTTTGTTCTGCCTTTCCGTTGGTCATTTTAGAAGTTTTTTCTTGAATAGAGTGAATCCTCGATGAAAGAACTTTGCCACGTTGATCTAGCTCTTCAACCACTGTCTTTACCAGTGTGGTTCTGGATACATCTAGAAATAAAACATATATGAATGTAGTTATTCAACCTAACATATTATGTGGCAAAGAGTTCAATTGCTGGTGTAATATATCATGTACATTTTAGCTCAGGGAGTCCGTACAGATTTATAATAATAATTTGGCATAATTGGAAACAACTCAATACTTTCAGTCAGAGTACTTTAGTTAAAATCACTTAATTATCCTCCATTGCTATAGTATAGGACTGCCATTAATGCAAAAGCATTCAGTGCAACAGAAACAGAGCTAGATTTTATTACCTGTAGATGAATTCCCTGAGATTTCTGATCCAAATCCTTTCGATTTGGAGCATGAACTGTAAAGAAAAAAGTTTTGTTTCTTTTATATTTGTTTATTATCACTTAAGAAATATTCATTGAATCAATGAGCTCAAGTGAACATTGTATGCCAAAAAACAGATCTTAGTTTACTATGGAGGAAAATACTAAGATTATTGTGTGCAAGAGCTTGAAGTAATTAAATGTTATCTAAAGATTAGTGGGTATTAGTTGAGGGCACAACTGTAATTCTAGCTACTTGGGAAATGGAGATAGTAGGATCTTGGATCCCAGGCTGGTCAGGACAAAAGCATGAGACCTTATTTGAAAAACAAACTAAAACCAAAAAGGGCTGAGGGTATGAGTCAAGTAGTAGAGTACTAGGAAGCATGAAGTTCTGCATTTAAACCCCAGTACCACCAAAAAAGAGGATGTTTAATAAAAACCCTTTGTTTCCATTAGATTTTTTAAAAACCAATAATTTGTAACTTAAGAAAAAAAACATATACGCATAAGCTCTCTCTATATATATACACACACAAATAACAAGAAAAAATGTAATCCCCCAGATTACATAGACATATACACCTATACCTATACATGTACATGGATCTTGGGTATTTCTACAGAGTACATTTATTTTAAGGCAGCAGTGATATTAAGAGTGAACTGAAAGAAGGATAAAGCCTGGGAGTGAGGGTTGAAATCTGCAATAATTAACGTGGACAATAATTGGGGACTTATCCAAGGAGGACTGGAGTCATCCAAGGCAGATGAGGAGGACTCTGCAAAATATGGACATGCTTTTGTTGAGTGGGAACAGAAAAGGGTTGGCAGTATGGAAGGCTAAGAGGCAGGGTTTGGTTGTTTGGAACTTCCCAATGGTTTACTTACTTTCCATCTCCATCTATCAGGCGACAGTAGGTCTCAATTTCCTTCTCCAGGTGGGCCTTGACGTCCAGCAGCTGCTCATGCTCCAGCTTCTGGCCCTCAGTCTCAGTCCTGACCTGGTGCAGCTGCTCCTCCAGGGCCCCGATCTGAGCCTGGATCTGCGCCAGCTGTGAGCAGTAGTTGCCCTCGGTTTCGGTCAAGGAGCACTCCAGGGACTGTTTCTGGAAACATGAAAGATCAATAGAAAGGGATGAAACCAACCTGAGGACTAGGAAGCCTAGTGTTTCTCAGCAACCTGCAGTTCCCTGGGCAAGTCTGGGATATGTGTGGGACTTGTCACAGTAAAATAGGAGATGGAGGCTGGCATTGACTGGCTGGGGGTGAGGTATGCTGGATAACCTGGCATGGGATAAATGAACCTTTTCCCTCAAGACAGTTGACCATCCTACTAGACATTCATGATATTTAGGTAATATTTCTTATACTTGTCTACTGTATTTCAATTTCTTTGCTGCTGTCTCACTCTGTTCCAAGGCCTGTTGTGTTGCTGTTTCTTTTTCTAATCTGTCTTTGATTTCCTGTCATCCATCAAAGTCCTCTTATTGAACGAATTCAATGTTGAAGGAATACTTTAACAGGGTGGGTTTTCAAGAGCAGAGATGTAGCTCATAACATGGCACAGGTCATTATTTCAACACTAGTCTTATACATACTTCCTCTCTTCTATTTCTATAGTCTGTAATTTGTCTAGCCAGGTGAGCCCCACTTCAATTAAAGTAATTTCCCTCTTTCCCTTATCATATATAAATATGTCCAGGCAGTTATTACTTTTCCTGATATTATTTGTTATCATATTGCCCAATCTCTCTTCTACTCTTTCATTTTCCTTTTCTTCTTGTGTGAAGCAATGTCTGATCTTATATCACTGAGAATAAAACATGAATGAAAAGAAGATGCAAAGCTCTGAGTGACATTTTATGGTGTGGCTGGGCCCAGTGTTTACATAATAAATACATTTTATTTTAAAATACTTTCCTTTTATTTTCCCTATTATTGAAGTTATGGCATTATAATTTAAAAACAGTATTGTATAGTGCTAAATATATTATGTATTGATTTCATTCGAGGATTGCAAAGAGGGAGTTATAAAATATCTATAATAACAGGCAGACATGGGTCTAATGGGGCAGAGGTCCTTAAGACCACTGGCTAAGGCTGTGGTTATACGGAGTGTTATACGGAGGGTGCTGGGCTCTCCAGGAGCGTTTGAGTGGAAGGCAATCAGAATGGTAACGGGGTAAGGTGGGTGACAAGTAGCCAGACGCAAGTGGCAAGTGGGGGTGTGCTCAGAGTTCAAAGCTTAGTTTCCTTGGTGATGTGTCTTCCTAGAGTATTCCTTTACAAGACTGCTAATACTCTTTTCACTAAGAGGGAACTGTAGTTCCCAGCCTTCCATTGTAGAGGTCGGCTTGTCAGTGAGGAAGAACAGGATGAACTGGAAGTTCGTATAATACAGGAAGCAAACATGTAAACTTACAAATGATGTGTGTTCTAAACATAGGAAATGAACTTTAGAATTTAGCTTAAGAGGAAAGAATCTTGGGTATGGAAGTTATCCATGCCACCATTACTATAATTCAGTTATATTGGTTGCTAATTGGGTTGTTTAGGGGAGGGATTATCTCATGACCCCAAACTATAGTACAACTGGCTGCACAAATTCTAACTGCTTTATATTAACATTGCTTCTATGCGCAAATGCTTAAAAGTCTGATCTGGGAATTCATGAATTTATTTCCTTCACCCGTTCTCAGAAATAGAGGGAAGATTCACTCCTGGGGGGCTCTCTCAACAGGAACAGCTCCTGTAGGCTCTGGTTTCAAGTAAGAGAGGATGTGGAAGAGAGGAGCATCCTGGGAGCCCAAAGTGATAGGGAGGGTCTGGGGACCTAGCTAGCAGCAGTGATGAGGTGAGAAGAGGGGCATGTTGGTTAAGGTGGGGGTCAGTCAGTGGTAAGTCTGCTATGTAAACACAATATACTAAGAGAGCACAGCACTTTTTTTTTCTTTTTGTTTTGGACCATCTTTTCCTTCATTGCTGACTGCACTCATCTATATTGTAGCTGCTCCTCAGAACGTACAAAACCTTTTAAAGACAGGGGATTGATCCTTAGGTCACGTGTGCCATAATTCTCAAAATTAAGCCTTTTGGGTGCTGCCTGCTCACAGAGGAGAAGGGAGATAGGTTTTTGACCTGCCTTGTCTCATAGTAAACTTTGAGTTAATCCAGGTGCCCTGTGTGCCAAAGTGACTGAATGGCTAGCTCTGTGGGGGTATGCTCTAGGATGGGACTTCTGCCCTGGACACTGTGGGGATGAAAGTGTTGACAGTGCCCATGTGGAGTTCCGTGGGTACCCTCTTTTCCTCTGCTTTGTGAAAAACACAATGTGCCTCTTCTTGGATGGTGGTGGGGGGAGGGCCGGGCGTAACTGGAGATTGAATCCAGGACCTGGAGCATGCTGAAGATGCTCTACCACTGAAGCCACCTCCCTAGCCCTTTCCTTTGTATTTTTGTTTTTGAGATAGGGTCTCTTGCTTTTGCTCAGATTGACTTTGAAACTCAAGATCCTCCTGCCACGAACCTCTCAAGTAGCTGGAATTACAGGTGTGCACTATCATGCCTGGCCACAATATGCCTTCCTCAAAATCAGGGGAAACTGGTATGACCTACCTCTGTCCTAAGGGGCCAAATGACCATAGACCTGTCACTGCTGCTGCTTGCTCTGAGGGCTGAGATGAACTATGCTAAGGGAGGAACAAGGTGACATGTCGGTTATTTTCATGAAATGAGCTCTGAGCATAGCCAGGAAGGAAAACCTCAGTGATGGAGTCAGAGGGAGGCAGAACACATTGCTCTATTTCCGTGCTTCTGGGGCTGTTTTTTTTTTTTTTTTCCTGCTCCCTTCCACTTTGTTAAGTATTTGTAGTAAAGCAATTACAAAGAAGAGAAGGGCTCCTCTGAGGTTTTCTTTTTCTTTTTTAGAAATCAAGAAATTCAGGTTGACCGGCGCTGGCACCTACCGTCGCCAGGAGGGACCGCAGCTCGATCTCCAGCGTCTGCAGCGTGCGCTTCAGCTCGGTCAGCTGGGTCCTGGCGGAGCTGGCGGCGCCCGCGTCGTCCGAGATCTGCTGCTGCAGGGTGGCGCTCTGGAAGGCGGGGCGCAGAGGGTCACGCGGAGCCCGTGCGCCCCGGGTACGCGGGACGCGAGGCGAGGGTCGGGCTGAACTCACCTTCTCCTGGAACCAGGCCTCGGCGTCCCTGCGGTTCTGCTCGGCCAGGGCTTCGTACTCAGCTCGCATGTTGTTCAGCAGAACCGTGAGGTCCACCCCGGGGGCCGCGTTCATCTCCACGTTCACGTTACCTCCAGCCGCACACTGCAGAACTTGCATTTCCTGCAGGGAAATGCCAGAGTGACTGTGTTAGGGGCAGTGTAGGTTCATGCAGTCTGAATTCTCAAAGGTGTTACTTTAAGGTCGCCAAAGTTTGAGGTCAAGTGCCTAATGTGTGGCCCCCAATTTTTAAAAAGATGTGAAATGCTTCTTTCTGTTCCCCCCTTTTTATTAGCATATATTAATTGCACGGGAGTTTCATTGTGACATTTACATATGTGCTTACAATGTATCTTCATTAGACTCACCCCCTCCAGTATCCCTTTCTCCTCTTCTTAGAACAATTTCAACAGGTTTCATCGTTCTACTTTCATACACTTGTACAAACTACATAGACCTATTCACCTTCCTTAACCCTCTCCATTTACCCGTCCCGCTCCCACTGGTCCTCACTCCCCAGACAGGACCTGTTTTACCTTCCTGTCCTTCATTTAACGTGTATCTTAATTTTTCTAAGGGTTTCACCAAGGCATTTCACATATCTATTGTACTTGAAGCAGGTTAACCCCATCTATTACTTACTCTTTCTCCATCGCCAACAGCTTTCAGTGCATTTCCTTATATCATCTTCATTCATGAAGATCTTCATCTTCAATGCAATGTACCATTTTCTTTTCCTCAGCTGCCTACCCCTAGTCCCACTATTGCAATCGTGTTCTCTCCCCACATATATGTATATAAGATCATATATGTATTTATGTACACATTTATCTTTTAGATCTAGCTTCAACATATGAGGGAAAACCTGATCTTGTCCTGATAAATCTTTTTTTTTTTGGAGGTGCTGGAGTTTGAACTCAGGGCTTTGTGCTGGGCAGGAGCTCTACTGCTTGTGCCCCAGTTTTTAAAATCAACTCCTTCCATTCATATTCACTCCAATCATCCATTTAATTATTTTCTATTAAAACAAATGCATCCACCACCTCCTAAAAATGTTGCAGCATGCCAAAAGAAAGTTTTTATTCTTTTATATGAGAAAGGGTTATAAAGACCAGAGTTATTTAATACATAATTATTGACTAAATGACAGGTTGATGGGAATAGAGCAGTGGGAAAAACCAAATAAAAATTCCAGCCCTTGTGAAATTTCCATCTTAGAGACACCAGCTATCATTTACTAACTGATTATTATATGCCAGACACTGTTCTAAATGCTATACATGTATTATTTCAAGCCTTTTAATATCATGTAAGATAGGCTTATTGTACAGATTAGGAAACGAAGGCACAGAGAGGTGGAGTAATGCCTACATTATTCACTGGGATTTGAACAAGGAGGTTTTGAACACGTTACTCTAGCTCCTGGGTCTGTCTCAGGTCACATAACTAATCTGCCTGAGTCAAAGACTGGATTTATAAACACCTAAGCAAACCAGTGGCTTGAATTTAGTTCCTTGGGTAGCTCACCTTTTCATTTTAGCTGCTTTTAAAAGATTGATATATCTGCTTTTTTAAACCTTTTTTTTAACCCTAAATCTATGACTTTCCAGTGTCCATCAAGAGCAAAAGGTGTGCATTGGTCAAGAAACCCTATTGACTTATTTCCATATTTGAAGTTCTGTGTAAGAGTCCATGTGAAGGAAAACTCTTGTTGCTATAAAAGTTTGAAAGTCAAATCGCTTGAAGTTGTTCTAGGGGCACTGGTCACAAGGAGTGTGGTGAGACACGTTTACCTTCTGTTTCTCTTTCCCATAACGTTCTAATTAGGAGTAAGTAGATTTGGTAGATTTCATTTTAAACCAATTACAGGGCACTTCATGTCACAGTATTACAGTCAAATAATGGACTTATTACTGTTTAGTGTTCAATACTAAGTAAACCCAGGATCCCCAAATGGAGAAAAATGTTGGCACCTTTTCCTAATCAGGGAGATCTTTTGTGAGGAAGCTGACCTCAAAATAGCCTTATATGCTATTATATCCCTTATATGGATGAAATAAATAATCTAGTGTAATGAAAGAGGGTTGTGTTAGTGCAAAAATAATGTATTATATTCAAATGGAATATCAGCCTAAAGAATGGAAGAATACAGGTCAAATTGTTAATTTTTTTCCCTGGGGGATGAGATTAGAAGGGTAAAATAGGAGAAATTAAATTATTTATATCCTTTGGCATGAGTGAATGATTACATTGAGTATGGTAATTACAACTATTATTGTAATTTTAACATTCCCCTCCCAAAGCATTTAAAATGTACAGAATTATGATTTGACTAGAAGTGAAACATCTCTTACCTCTTCGTGGTTCTTCTTAAGATACGTCATTTCCTCACTCAGGGATTCATACTGCAGCTCCTGGTCAGTCCTGCAGAGGGTCAGCTCATCCAGGACCCGGCGCAGTCCATTGATGTCCATCTCTACATTCTGGTGAAGGGCGAGCTCATTTTCATACCTTGGGGGGGCATTTAAATGAATTTCAGTGCAAGTTAGACTATTTCAAGAAACGAAAAAAGAAAACCTCAATATATTTAAACTGAAAAATTAGAAGCTGAATCAAAACTATAAATATTATAAAGGTACACAGACAAAGGACCCCATGCAGGGTAGGATAATCAGCAATTATTTAATCACACCAATCCTAATGAAATAAAAACAAGCCACTTTATAATTTATCTTAGCTAACATTTTTACTTAGTTAACAAATAGTTACTGGGCACCTATTTTGTACTTGTCATTGTTCTAGGCAGGTCTAATACACTGATATTTTGTTACAAATTCTGAGTATAATTGATTGTAGTAGTGTAACATAAATCTTCTGCTTCCTTTAATCTTTTAGGTTTTAGTTCATTCTTCTTGGGATGAATTGAAATTTTGTTTAACAAATGAGATGCACAGGTAGTGTTCCCTAGAACATGATTATTTTCTGTCACTTACTTTAGCCGAAAGTCATCAGCAGCCAGTCTGGCGTTATCAATTTGTAGAATGACATTAGCATTAGTAGCTGTGGAAGAGATAATCTAGACGAAGCAATAATGGAGACAGCCATAAACAACTTTGCTGTTATCATTTATTATTTCATGAAATAAAAATATTATATAACTAAGCTTTTGCATAAAATTCTTATGACATAAAATGTTTAGAAATTAATGCTTAAAAATTAAGAGATTTAAAAAATTTATTCTCATACAGTCAATACCTTTTAGAACATAATTCTTTCTAGGAATATATTTTAAAAAATAATGGCGCTAACAACATGTGAGCTGTATTGAAATTCATGAATCCAAGTGCCAAATTTTGAGTAATGGAAAGAATTATTCATTAAAATAAATAATAAATAAATACAAGTGACAGATCCCAGTCCTGATGCATTTCATGTTTTGATTTTATACCTTTTGCTGGATATTTCTTAGTTTTAAAATACTTGGAGTAGTTCCAAATTTGTGATTTCTTACCTTATTTTTAAGATCCTCAATTGTTTGGTGATATGTGCTGTAGTCATGATCAAGTCCACGGCAAGATCCAGGTCCATATTTTTCATACCAATTCTTGATTTTTCTCTCTAATTCAGCATTCGCCTCCTCCAGAGCTTTCACATTATCCAGGTAAGATGCCAAGCGGTTGTTGAGATTTTGCATGGTCACCTTCTCATTCCCAGAGAGGAGTCCCCCTTCACTTCCAGCAAAGCTAAGACATACAGCATTTCCAAGGGTGCCACCAGCATGGCTTCCACCAGGAACACCACCCAATCCCCCTCCCAAGGCATAGGAAAATCCACTTCCAGCAACAGAACTGCCACACACACTGCTGCTGGCAAGGCCTGCGCTTCCACTGGGTGGTCTGACAGATCCAGAGCCAGACTGTAAGCCAGTGTGCCTGGATCCACCAGAAAATTGGAGAGACATGGTGCTAGGAGAAACGTTTGCCTTGTCTGTGGGTAGCTGTAATGTCAAAGGAGAAGAATATAATGTGCTGATGGTTTCTTTGAGCTTTTATACAGATTTATGGGGGGTGTTTCTATTTGAGTTATTATGCCAAAAGAAAGATGGCATCATTTAGATTAGCATGAAATTAGGTCTAATTGAGTAATTTAAAAAATAATTAATGTCTAATATCCCTAGGTATTGCTTCAGGTTGTTTGTTATCTTACATAAAAGAGGGGTTGTTCTATGTTAAGTTTATTATTTTAACTTCTAATTTTGAGTGAGTAATCCTTTACTTTCTTTCATCTAGAACTTATGAATATGCCATCATTTTCTAGTGCAGGATATTATCCAGTGTTGAAAGTTAAGCAAGATTGTGATAGGGTACTGTTAACCATACCATTGAGGTGTATAAAGAATTATTAACTACAGAAACAGATATTTTATCCCATGAAAGTAAAAAATGTGTTATTAAAAATACATTCCTAGTAATATCCCTGTTCTTACCATGATTACAGCATCTACTTATTGCCTTGGGCAATGACACAAATATTGGCTTAATCCTTTATTTTAAATAATGGCTACTATGTCTGGTGCTCTATGTTAAATACAAAAATGAAAGACATGGAGCTATATAGATGCAAAAATGCAGAAACATTATTACAATCTTTACGAATCTGTCAGGTCATGACAGGGGCTGGATCATGCTTACCTTCTGTGCCAAACTAAGGAGTTTAGAATGAATCCTAAGTGAAACACAGAGGACAACATGATTAGGTTGAAGTAAAACAAGAAGTCCAGTCACAGGTTAGAACAATGGTCCAGGTATAAGGATAAAGCCAGTGATGGATGGCAGAAGATGGAGCTGAGAGGATATGGCAATTGATGTTAGAGAGTAAGGAAGAGGGAAGAGTGAGGGATGACTTTTTCCTTCCTTCCTCCCTTCCTCCCTTCCTTCTCTCTTTCTTCCTTCCTTCCTTTTCTTTCTCTCTCTCTCTTTCTTCTTTCTTTCCTCCTTCCCTCCCTTCCTCTGTCCCTCTCTTTCCTTCCTTCCTTCCTTCCTTCCTTCCTTCCTTCCTTCCTTCCTTCCTTCCTTTCTTCCTTCCTTCCTTCCTTCCCTCCTCCTCCCTCCTTTCCTTGCCTTGAACTTGTGATCCTCCTGCCTCATTCTCCTGAGTGCTGGAGATGACTTTTTGGTAATTGCTCTCAAATGCTAGAAATTCATAATGCAACTGAGATAGAAAATATGGGTGGGAATTATAGATACTGAGTCTATTTTTAGATTAACTGGATTAGAGGATCTGATGAATGTCCAGATGAAAATGGCTGGTAGAAAGAGTGAATTCTTCTTCCTTCCTTCCTTTCTTCCTTCCTTCCTTCCTTCCCTCCTCCTCCCTCCTTTCCTTGCCTTGAACTTGTGATCCTCCTGCCTCATTCTCCTGAGTGCTGGAGATGACTTTTTGGTAATTGCTCTCAAATGCTAGAAATTCATAATGCTAACTGAGATAGAAAATATGGGTGGGAATTATAGATACTGAGTCTATTTTTAGATTAACTGGATTAGAGGATCTGATGGAATGTCCCAGATGAAAATGGCTGGTAGAAAGAGTGAATGATTAGAACAGCAATGAACTGAGAAAATACCTGACTGGCAATTGAGGGCTGTTGTGTGTATTGACATTCAAGTGCATACTTAGAAGTAATCCTGGTACGGGAATAGAGTAGGTACCAACCAGAATGATGTTGGTTTGGGTATTGAAGACAGGCCCAAAAGAGGAAAAAAATGCCAAAGAAGTTTCTGATTCTCTTGAGAAAATGACTGAGTTGACTGACTATATAATCATATAAAAAGAAGAAGTAACAGTACAAAGATAGGTAAACTGAGAAAAAAGACATGTTGACTCATTTGGTATCTTTATGTCATGGAGTAGGTAAGAATATGAGTAGAAGAGGTCTATTTAGCTGACAGTTTTGGAAGCTGAGAGTCCACAAGCGGTTAGCCCTAAACTGTTCAGCCTCTGGTGAGCATTCCCTTCACTGCATTACAACATGGCAGAGAAATGGAAAGTGCTTAGGGTAGACTTGCTTTAAAACAACCTGCTCTTTTGACAACTGGAGTCTTATAAGCGAAAACTGCATTAATTCCTTATGAGGGTGGTACTCCCAATGAACTAATCATCTTCTACTAGGTCCCACCTCTTACAGGTTCCACCACCTTTGTACCATTACACTGGGAACGCAGCTGCCAGCACAAGAAACATACTTTGGGAAACATACGCAAACCATTCAGACCATAGCAGATGGACAGTGGAAAGCAAAATTTAGAATTTAAAAGCAGACAGAACCCTGGATGTTACCAAAGTCCAGAGAACACTCATGGGGACTAGACCCAACAGTCACTGGAATAAGAAGTCAGGAGTGGGTTAGACCCAAAAGTCATTAGAGTCAGAGATCAGGAACTATTAAATCTTGATGTTAAGTGGGTGATGGTAGGAGATGGGAGAGAAGTGGACTGTAGCTAGCTACAAAAGTCCTTGGATGATAGGCTTAGAAGAGTGTGTGGTGAAGGGAAATTGGACTGCCTCCAAAGAGGAGTTTTAGCATAAGAATTAAGTGGCACAAAGCTGGATGTGGCATTGGAGATGTACAGAATACAGATTCTGAGTCCATAGATGGGGTGTGAGGAAGTAGGAGTAGAAGGAGAGATGGAGAGAGAAGCCAGAGGTGGGGGTGGAAAAGATGTGGGCGAAGACTGTGGGGTGGGGAGAGGGTTGGAGACTACTGGGAAATTTCCAAGAGACAGCGTGGTGAGGACAATTCAACGGAAAGGTACACGAGGTGGCTGATGCTATGAGAAATATCATTTCAACCGAACTTTTTTGCAGAGAGGCCTGCAGAGGGTTCAAGTAGTTGTCAAAATATGGATTAAAAGTTTTCACCCCATCAGTTTGCTGAGACACTACCTGAGCTCAGGCGTAGCATAGTGCTGGCACTAGAAAGGCCTTTAAATACATATTTTGGGTAAAAGTGTAGTATATTTTTAGAATTGAAAAGAGCCTTAGCCATCACTTAATTGGGCTTTTCATTTGGCAGGTGAGGCAAATGAGATCCAGAAATGTTAAACAGAAGGTCTTTAGGCATGTGCCAGATGAAAACTTGACTTATGTTCAAGATGACCTTGCGATTATTGTACTTGAAGAATCTATTTTATGCAATGCATGCTGATATGGATACTGACATTATATATTGTCATCCAGGGTTACCATGAGTGAACTGTAAAAGTATCCTTTTAATTGAATTGTTGATATTGAAATATTGAAGAATTAGTATGTCAGCATATATTAAGAATTTTAAATCTTTCCAGTGTCCAATTATTATTTAAGTAGCTTACTTGTTATTAGTTATTACTAATTATTTATAATAATTGCTGGTTATTAAATAATAAGTAGATGACCAATTGGTGTAAGGCACTTGCATTTTCATATGTAAATAAAATGTTTCTGAAAGAACATTATAGATTTTAAGTATCCTCACCACAAAAAATGATATGATAGGTAATTTTGATTAGTTTTTTCATAACCTATACATATTTTAAGACATTATATTGTATAACATAAATATATACAATTTTCACTTGTCAGTTGAAAATAAATAAAATAACACGAAAACCTGTTTCTTTAAAAAGCATGTGCTTAACATGATAAAAGCGAGAGCACACAAGGGAGGGTGAGGATAAGTAAGACACCTAAAAAATTAGCTAGCATTTGTTGCCCTTAACGCAGAGAAACTAAAGCAGATACCTTAAAAGCAACTGAGGCCAATAGGAGAAGGGGAACAGGAACTAGAGAAAAGGTTAGATAAAAAAGAATTAACCTAGAAGGTAACACACACGCACAGGAAATCAATGTGAGTCAATGCCCTGTATAGCTATCCTTATCTCAACCAGCAAAAACCCTTGTTCCTTCCAATTATTGCTTTACTCTCTCTACAACAAAATTAGAAATAAGGGCAAAATAGTTTCTGCTGGGTATGGAGGGGGTGGGGGAGAGAGGAGGGAGGGGGCGGAGTGGGTGGTAAGGGAGGGGGTTGGGGGCAGGGGGGAGAAATGACCCAAGCCTTGTATGCACATATGAATAATAAAAGAGAAAAAAAAAATTTCCCCCTTTCAAAGATGAAGAAACTGAGGAAAAGAACTGTACAATGATATAAAGCCTAAAACTGGGTAAATAAAGCCCAGAATGGGCCTTGTGTGGTGCTTTTTTCAGCATATATCATCATTTTAGGAGCAGGTAGAAAAATAAAACTAAATGCAAAAATTACTCTTTAATAAAAACATAAGGGTGTTTCTTAAAATTTGATTTTTAGAATTTCAAGTTATTAGCAAAATGAAGCTTTTGGCTACAGTTATGCTGTCTATCAAATGACATTCATTTATTCATTTTTTCATTAAAGGAATATTTGATAGTATTTATTATATGCTAGGCATCATCTTAGTAGCAGATGATACAGAGGAGAAAGAAACGTGATGTCTTCTTAACTCTTACAGAGTTCATTGCTTAGTGAGAAGATAGGCCTTAAGTAAATAACCACAAAAATTATAAATTATGTTAAAAATTAGAGGAGGAAACTACATGAGACTATTAAACGGGGACCTAATTTAGATCGAGGCAATCCTTTTGAAGAAATGACATTAAAAAAATGCCAGAAAGATAAGAAGGTAATTTCCAGGCAAGGAAATGGAGGGGCACTCTGGAAGGGAAAGAGAATAAGTACATAAAAATTTACATTTAGCCTAGGAGGTAAGTTTATTTTTCATTACTATAACCAGATGCCTGAGGTTGAGTGGTTTATAATGAAAAGAAGCTTATTTAGATCACAGTACTGGAGGTCCAAGAGCACAGCAGTGATCTCTGCTTGGCTGTAGTGAGGACCTCAGGATGATGGAATCTAAGAGGGAGTACATGCAAGAGGAGAGATCACATGATGAGGCAGGAAGCTAGAGCATAAGGAGGAGCTAGGATCACTCTTTTATAATCCCTTTTAAAGAACTAATAAAGATCTAATGAAAACTACATCAGTTCTTTCTCAGGGAAGTGCCTGCAATGACCTAAACAACTCCCACTAGGCCCTACCACTGAAAGGTCCCACCAGGTCTCAACATTGCCACACTGGGGACTGACAAACCTGCCAACACATGAACCTTTGGGGGACACATTCAAGCTATATCCAGACCATAGGAGGAGGGAAGAGTGTGGTGCCTTCAAGGACATGGAGGTAGCATTGCTGGTGCTGCATGTGCAGGGAGAGAGGACTGAAGAAGGCTGCCCATAAAGAGACTTCTTCGGTTAGGTGAGAGATTCAGAGTTTGATTTTGAGCATAAGGGGAAGTCACTGAGAGATTTAAGCAGAGGAGCTATTTTAGAAGACCATTCTGGCTGCTCTGTGGAGAATGGATGGGAAGAGAGTTAGAGTAGGTATAGGAAATCATTAGAAAGCCAGTGTCAGTAATTTAGATGAGATAGTAAGGTAGTTTGAGTCAGGGTAGTGATACTGGAGATAGAATTGGATGGAATTAGGATAATTTTGGAAAAGTTTCACTAGTGTTGGAGCCAATGATACTATGTGTCTGGAATATGCATTGGATTTCCTACTCTGGGGCCACAAGCAGCATTCTGCAAGGTCAAAAGTGCCACAGACCTCCAGCTAGGCCCTGCAAGGTTTCCTGTAACTGTGACCACAGGGAAACTCTGTACAAGCCTGTTTCTCTGTAACCGGCTTGTCTTTCTGACCACCTGTGAACCATCTACTGCAAAAACCCCTTGGTTACATAAACCACCTGGGGGATATATAACTCATCTCCTGACTCTGATCCGGGCTCAGGGCTTTGAGAAATTATCTCCCGAGTCTGCTAGTGTAATAAAAATTCCTGATTCCTGCAAAGTGGTCTCAGTGACTTTGTTTCCCTCGCCGTTTCCCGCATTACTAGCACCTGTTAATTATAGGCTAAGGTAAGGACAGAGGGTATAGGAAGGGAGAAAAATCAAGCATGACTCCTGTGGTAGTCAAAATAATGGTTCCCAAGGAAGTTTACACCCTACTGGTCAGAAACTATAAATATATTACCTTACATGGCAAAAAGGACTTCACAGATGTGATTAGGACAAGGATAAGAATAACAATTCTATAGATTTTATTATATGAATCACAGTTGTGACATTGGGTGCCTCACTGAAATATTCGTAACTATGCCTCTGGTTGTTCTAGAATTTGCTTCCCATCTTTTAATTATCTAATTTCTACTACCTTTCAGGCTGTGTTCAAGAGCCACGCTTTCTAGCAAAACAGTCCCAACATGCCATTCTGTTTTGGATGCCACAGTGCCTTGTGGGTGATCTTTAGTCCTTGATGTGCACATCTGCTATGGAATGTCTGTATCCTAGCTTTTTATTTCCAGGGCCTAGCATGTTGCTTGACTTATCACACTCAGTCATGTTTGTTGAATGAATGAGTAAATGAATTTGATCCACTGAGTTAAACTCTCAAGGACTCTAAAACCGTCCTTCCTCCTGGAAGAGTCCTGCAATTTTTGTTCTGAAAGGTTTCACTATGGGTGCTCAACTGTGTACCACGCCTTTGACACAGTGGTAGCTTTATTTCTCTGGTGGTTGATTTTCTGCACCTTTCCTCCACTCTGTTCATGGTGGGAGGAAGCTCTTTACAACAATGTTTACAGCTTTTATTCAATCTCTTAAAGTAGCTGGTCATTTTGGTTCTTACCTTCTTTCATGGTTCCAGAGAAACAAACAGCCCCAGTGAATGAATTGGAAGGACTTGAGTGATTTGGCCTGGATTCACATTTAAAACTATCCTCACTGGTTACAATTATAATTCAGTATAATTACAATTATAACTCAAGCTTCCAAAATCACCTGCTGGGAGGCAGTGGCTATTACTGGAGGGTAAAGGTAAGGCAGAGCCTTGAACAGAGTATAGATATTTTCATGAAAGAAGTACTGAAGATGGAGAGCTTGTAGAGTTCCTAACACATGGGAGACCCTGGATGACATGAATACTTTTTCTTTCTAGCTCAACTGAATTTATTCTTCCATTTTTCCTTTTGTCTAAAAAGTGCTTTTTAGTATCATATATCATCTGAACAAAGTAATGGGTTTCATTATGACATTTTATATATGCAGATAATGTGCTTTGATGGTAATGAATACTTTTTTTTCTTTTTAAAAATCCTAGTGTTACTGGGTCTACCTTGGGAGATTTATAGGCATTTACTTATTTGGACATGATTTATTTTGTCACTCAACCAATATTTATTAAGCCTTAAGTATGTGCTGAAAACTGTGTTGCTTTGGGTTTACAGTGATGGGGAAGGTAGACCTAGTACTCATCTCAATTGGATTAAAATCTAGATTTGCTTTGGAGTACAATCTAGTACCCTGAAAGATTCCCAAGGCACACATGCTGACAAGATTTTTCCTACAGGAACTTTTGATACAAAAGGAATTAAAGTCTAGTTTTCAATGTCTGTGGAAGGGCACATTTTGGAACTGTATGTTGTATAACAGAGTCTGTAGCCAGTAGAGACTTCCAAACAAATGGCAGGGGATCAGGGCTCAGCTACTGGGAAAAACTGGAGCTCAAATCAAGGATGTTGAAGAAGGCTGCTACTTGGTGAATATGTGTAATCCTGGAACCCACCAGGAAAACAATGCAGTCTTAGGACCACATATTAACTCCAGCTCCCCCTTGTCCCCAATGGTACTACCTTGCAGAGAACCAGTGATGTTAGCAGGATTCTTACTGGCTGAAAGATGTGACTGCACTTACCCTGAAAGTACCAGCTCTTTAGTATTATCACTGGGCAGATGTAAAAGGTGTCCCTTTGGTCACATTGGCACCACTTGACACCAAATAATTTTGTTGAGCAGGATATGATTTCAATGTGATCTCTGCCTTTTAAGCAGTTTAGCCACTGGGAAGAATATAGTAAGTATAGGAAAATAAGGGCGGGCTAAGGTGAGAAACAAAGTAATCAGAAAATGTGAAAACTTCGATTTTGTTTTTGGGGTCTTAATGAGATTATTTCAAAATTTTCATGATTAAAGTAATGTAAAGCCAAACTGCCAGGGGTTTCCCACATATTGCCAATCTTTAAGAAAGTGTAAGACTTGGGATTCATGAACTTTTTCACTTGGTGAGATTACTCATATTGGTCTGAGGATACTCACAAGCTTAAGTAAAGATAAATTCGGACAAATTTAGGTAGTTTGCATCAGTAAGAAAGTTTATTGAAATTCATTAGTAAATGAGAACAGCAAGTTTTCCTTTTTTTTTTCTCCATGAAATACTTTCTGGTAAAGTGAAAAGAAGAAATATAGAAACCACAAAACACCTTTTAGACATCTTATTTGCAAGGAGTGCACCTACTTTCAACAGACCATTAATACCACAATGTTTTCTTGGGCATTTTGTTTTCCATGGATCTGTATATAATGGCCCGTGTGAAGAGAGATTCATTTCTCTTCACACAGCTTAATAGTAGTGTTTCTTGGTTTCTGATTCAACCATAGAGGAAAGGACTCTACCATCAGGTGCCACCTCTTCAATAATTGTCTTGATTACTCTGGCTTTATTAGTATCTGTGTGAATAATAAAAAAGAAATAGAATTTTGACTAAATGATTTGTAGGGATCCTGGGCAATTAACAAGCAAATGTTTTAAAACTATATTATATTTTTTTAAAAGAAAGAACATTCATCTTTTCCGCGCTGTTAAAAAAAATCCAAACAATGTTTAAGTTGTGGGTGACATTTAGACCAATCTTGTTTCAAGATTGGTGTCAAGCGTGTAGTTTACTTAAAAATGCAAGTAAAACCTCTCTAATACCCACATTAAAAAAAAAACCAGCCGGAGAGCTTAAAGAGCAATAAACCATTACACAAAGTTAAAACTAAGTCTATTACCCAAGTTAGTTTCTGCTGACCTTGGTCCCTTAGCGGACTCTCCAATCGACCCGGAAGAAGAAGTCTTGAAGCCTCCGCTTCCGCTCTGGCCTCCGCCGGAGGAGCTGCCACCGCCGAAGCTGCTGCTATGGCCGCCGCCGGAACTTCCGCCGTGGCCGCCGCCGGAACTTCCACCGTGGCCGCCGCCGGAACTGCCGCCGTGGCCGCCACTATGGCCGCCACCGCCGGAGCTTCCGCCGCCGTAGCCGCCGCTGTGGCCGCCGCCGCCGGAACTTCCGCCGCCGTAGCCGCCGCTGTGGCCGCCGCCGCCGGAACTTCCGCCGTAGCTGCCGCCGTGGCTGCCGGAACTTCCGCCGCCGCGTCCACCGCCGTAGGATCCGCCTCCGGAACTAAAATGAGTGAAGGGTTTTATTTGGTTATCTCTTAACGCTGGAAAACGACAGTTACTGTACGGATTGTTATTCTATAAGAAAAAAACCACGTTTTTAAGAAATTACAACCCTACCAAGTATGTTTTAAAATTCATTCTTTAAAAACAAGTTTTTAAAAGACCACCCTAAAAATCATTTTTGGGCCAGTCTTGAGAAAGTGAGACTGCTTTCATTCCACCTCCCTTTCCCCCATTCTCTGGCATTTCCTTGGGGTTTGGGTAAAGCTTGCTGTCAGTAATATTGAATAAAAAGGAGAATTTTTCCATTTTCCAATTTACCTTCCTTCTCCTTCTAGCAGGCTGCGGTAGGTTTGAATTTCATTCTCCAGTCGGATCTTAATATCTAGCAGTTGCTGGTATTCAGCATTCTGGCACTCGGTTTCAGCTCGAATCTGTTGCAGTTGTTCCTCCAAGGAGGAGATCTGGGCCTGAATCTGTGAGAGCTGCACGCAGTAGCGGCCTTCTGTTTCTGCCAAGGAGGCTTCCAGGGATTGTTTCTGAAAAGATTTTATTGTTGGTTAGTGACCTTGTTGTTCCATTGAGCTTATTGAATTATTCAACAAGTCATCATACAGAAAAATAAAGAAAGCGAATAGAATTTATGTTTTATGTTTAATGACAGCATTGGGATTTTAGCACTTTTACATCAATGCTAATATTTCTTTTCGTGCATTAACATATTTCTAGTTTTGTTTCCCCAACTCTGTATGAGCTGAAACTTTGTATGATAAAGCGGAAATCATTTCACAAGATTTGACATACCAGGGCCAGTTGGGACTGTAGTTCGATCTCTAGACCTTGAACAGTGCGTCTCAGTTCAGTAATTTCGGATTTATGGCTGGACATTTGTTCGATGTTGCTGTCAATTTCTGTAGTCAGTTCCTTGCTCTAGAGTATTTAAAAATGGGGAAGATGAAAAAATTCTGACATGATAACAAAACCTCCATAGGCTTCTCTATGAAGGGTGATTAACTTACCTTTTCATTGAACCAGGCTTCAGCATCCTTGCGATTCTTTTCAGCAAGTTGTTCATATTGGCTTCTCATGTTATTCAGAAGTTCAGTCAGATCCACACCTGGGGCAGCATTCATTTCCACATTCACATCACCAGTGGACACATTTTGAAGATCTCTCATTTCCTATTTGAGGAACAAATAGATTCAATGACTGCACCATGACAACAATAAACCTTTTCTTGGCTGGGGGAAAAATAATTTTGCATCACCTCTTCATGGTTCTTCTTCAGGTAGGCCAGCTCTTCAGTCAGGCTCTCAATCTGCATCTCCAGGTCAGCCTTGGAGAGGGTCAGCTCATCCAGAACCCTACGCAGGCCGTTGATGTCGGCTTCCACGCTTTGGCGCAGGGCTACTTCATTCTCATACCTGAAACAAGCATGGTAAAAATACTGCATATAACTTTTATAAGGGAGGTGTGTCTGGACAGAGACTGTTTAAAAAGTAAATGTAAGGTTGACTTCATAGCATGGCAAAATTTATAGAATACTAACTCCCATAGGAGTGTTAGTGGCTTAATACAAAGAAGGTTAGCAGTTACTTTTAAATGCACTTTTTTCCTTTAAACATTGCCCAAAAGGTAATATTGAAATAGAAAATTTCTTAGATAACTCTAACACTATTTCACTTTGGGTAAATTCAGGAAAATGTAAATGCTATTATGGGTATCCAAAGGCATATTAAAAGCAACTGATTTATTTCTTTTGGTAATACTGTACCACATTCACTTAGCTTACTTCAGCCTGAAGTCATCAGCTGCCAGTCTGGCATTGTCAATCTGAAGCAGGACATTGGCATTGTCAGTTGTGAGGGTGAGGATCTAGAGGGAGAGACACAAATTATTCAAGAAGATGTCAGATGCAGATATGGCTTTTATGGTGGCATAGATGGGCTGTGTTTTTATGTGACTCTCTTCCAAAATCTTGGAGGGTTATTTTAAATATAAAATATTACAAACTTATTCATATACTTAAATTTGAATCATTTCTTCTTTCGAAGTTTCTATACTCTTCTATCTGTGTTATCCCTTTATGAAAACTAACTGGAATTAAATAGTTATGTTCCTGCAAGTGTGCCTTTCCTCTTTTATACTATGTGATGTTCATGTATTTCAGCCAACTTTTGAGTGACTCACACCTGTATTTGTTTAATTTGCTATCAATAATTCTAAGCGTATATATATATATATATATACGCTTAGAATTATATATATAAATATATATATATATATATATATATAACATGTAGTTGCAGTTCACAGATTCCCTGGAGGCAACATTGGTGCTAGATATGGCTTGTTACCAATCTCAATACTATTTGTTCTGTTTTGTTTAATAATTCTTTTAGTTTAAACATTTGTAAATGATCTAACATATTTTCACAATGAACTCACTTTATGCTCATTGAAACCTAAAAAATTCTCCGTATGTCATTCTGAAAGACAGACAGCACACAACCTGAATGAAGACTGCCATGACCATACCTTCACAAATATTTGTTTTTGATGACACTAGATTATATTTGGAAGCAAGAAAGTAGCATAGGTAAACAAAAGTGAAGGGTTACATTATGCTTAACTTCATATTTATCTATCTGTATTACATGGATAGAAATAGATTTAAAGTTGTTATTTAAAATGCTCCTTACCTGATTTTTAAGTTCTTCGATGGTTTGGTAGTATTTGCTATAGTCACGAGGCTCTCGCTGGCTTGAGTTGCCATGTTTTTCATACCATTCCTTAATTTTACCTTCCAGCTCATAATTTGATTCTTCCAGAGCCCGAACTTTGTCCAGGTAGGAGGCCAGACGGTCATTCAGATTCTGCATAGTTACCTTTTCATTTCCAGAGAGAAGGCCACCATCTCCTCCAAATCCACCACCAAAGCCTCCTCCATAGCCGCCTCCTCCATAGCCACCTCCACCAAAGCTACCACCACCAAAGCTGCCTCCTCCAAAGCTGCCTCCTCCCAAGCTGCCTCCTCCATAGCCCCCACCAAAGCTGCCACTTCCATAGGCTCCACTAAAGCTCCCTCCACCATAACCTCCTCCTAGGCCGTATCCTCCTAATGAGCTCCCAAAACAGCCCCCACCAGAGCTTCCACGGCTAAAGGAGCCACCACTGAAACCCCCTGAGCTAAATCCTCCACTATGGGAGCCTTTGCTGCTTGAAATTCTGAGGGATGATCCTCCTCCTCCTCCTCCTCCTCCACTTCGGGAGGAAGAGTAGTGCTTGCTTGAGCTGTGTCGAACAGACATGGTGATGCTGTTTAGCTCAGGGAGTGCCTGCTACCAAGGACAGTGACAAGCCTTTATATACTGAGAGGGCGTGTCGCACATGTGGTAGGTTTGCTTACTAGTATGGTTTTCTTTTTGTCAACTTAGCATCTTTGGCTTGTGATTGCATAAATTATCTCCAGTAATAACCAATACCAATATGTATGTGTTTAAATTTGCCCCAGCAACAAACAGGAGATTTGCTATGTTGAAACTGAAAACGGGTGGAGTGCAGATGAGCATTTGGTTCATTTTGCTTTTCACCTTTTAATGAACATTGAGCAACTGTTAAACTCTTTTTCTTTTTTTTTCCTCTCAGCACTAACTCAGGTTGCACTGAAGGTTTGCAAAGTTTAAAAAAAAAGAATTGTAGCTACAGAATTATGATTAAAATTAAAATCTTTGAATTCAGTTTTAATTAATTGGAGCAACAAATAGTATAAAGTATAACAAAATCATGCAATAAGAAGGATATTGTAGAAAACTGTAGGCAGCCAAAAAGAAAAAAATTTGTAAAAGGTTAAACAATTTTATTAGTGTTCAAAAGCTGTCCCATGTAAGAAATGAAAGCCATAAAAAACAAAATTTAAGAAATTATGTATCTGTGTTTGTAGTGAATCTTTTAATTTACTTGGAGAATGATAGTATATTCATATTTTGCCCAGGAAATTGGATGTAATGACTGAGGAATCTTTAAATTTAATGATCCTATTATTTTTAACATTATGAAATCATGAAGTTATTCTAGGTTAATTTTCCACTTTCAGAGAGAAGGCCATCATCTCTTTGCATTTTGAAGCTCCTCATAGTTTTGGTTTATGTGAAGACCAGGATGCAGAAATTCTTAGCACAAGGAGTGAACAACTAACCTCTAGTACTATATGCTAAGTTCTGACTGACTAAAAAGGGAGAATTAGGATATGTTATGATTTCAAATAAAAATTTTCTTGCAAGAATATAGTCTGAATTAGAGAAGGATACTTTCTTTAAAAATTATTAACCATATTTGCACATATGTTCCCAAGCTAGATTTTATTTCTCAATATCCAAGCAAAACATTTCCTTGGATGTACTGTGGGCAGAATTTGGATAACAGTTTGTCCATTAATTGAGACTTTAATACATGATATAAAATTATTTTATAGACACCTGCAGGCTATGACATGGCTTTTGTTAAAATATATTAACATATTTATATGCATATATCCACATACATTTTATAATTGTGTAATACTTTTTGTGATACTGAGATTTAAAAATCTCTGGAATAAGGTGCTAAGATAGGAATGGTGGTTATTATTTGTAATTTACAACTCAGAAAGTTGAAGCTAAGAGAAGTGATGATTTTTCCTAAAAACATTTGATAGGTAGTTGAGCTGTGGTTAGAAGATTGGTTGTTTGACTCCTGGAGTTTGCCTTTTTCCTACTATTCCAATGTGTACATGTATCTCTGCTGTGGTAGATTTGGTCTTATAGAACTGAATGTCTTAATTCTTACCACATAATTCTCCCCATGGGGAGAGACAAAACAAAACAAAAAAACTGTGGAGGCATTAAAATAGAGTAAAGTTTTGGCACACACTCTTCCATTAGTAATTGCTTTTTAAAATTATTTTTATAGGTGCACATTCCAGATTATGAAAGCTGCAGAAATAGTTTCCACAGGGAAAGGGAATGTGGTTGACAGCATTAGTGAAGAGTTAATTGTTAGAGTGGAGGTTACCAACAAACTGCAGCTTGTTAGAACATGCAAGTGGGGCAGTAGTTTCAAGGAAAAAATAGTAACCTAAACATGGGAATGGATTCTTTATGAAGATAGCATACAGTAAATGAAGACTATAATCAATCAGGATAGAAAAAAAGATTTCAGTAGATTTAGAGGAATGTTGAAGCGTTGATATTAATAAAAACTGGAAAGAAAAAATTAAAAGACAGATTTTGATTCAATTTACAGTAATTTTTGGATTTTGATCTTGCCAGTCTTGCTTTAGCATTACCCTTTTATTTTTTCCCCCTGTGGAAAATATAAAAATCTCAATCTAGTTCTAGATAGTTAAAAAGCCATATGAAGAGATCTCTGTTACAATCATATTAAGCCAAAAATGTGTGAAAGGAGATCTTGCATAAAAGTGCATGAGATCATTTGCACTGTTATTTATCGAATTGTCTTTGGCATGAGTAAAATTACAGCGGTGCCATGAAATAATTCTATAGATAAATTGACTGAAAATTTATGATTCTAGTTTGGGCATCATTTATACTTGGTTGCCGTAATCCACTCTGTTATTTTTTTTGTTCTCAATTTTTATTGCATCTCTATTTAAAGCAATGGGTTGAAGTTTAAATGAAAGATGATTCAGCTTCTCTTTAAGGATCTTACCAGTCATTATAATCTAATTAAAGAGAAATGACATATACTGTCAAATGTGCTGTGTAACTGGCAAATGACTGTGGGGTCAACCATTTGATGTGTTCAAATGGTTTACTTTCCTTCAGTCCTCCTCCAAATTCTCTAAGATAGGCATTATTTACTTTATTTTATAGCTGGAGAAAACTAAACCTTAAACATTTAATATTTTCCTGAGTAGCACTGTTAGTTTATACTAGAGCCTGGTTTTGAATTAGGGGTATAGCTACCAAAGGGAACAGGTTGTCAATGTTCATGAACTTTTTTCATTCTTTCAACAGGCTTTATTGAGAACCTGTAGTATGATCTGGGTTTACCTTGGTGACTAAGTAGTTCCTACTCCTCAAGGAGTTTAGTGTGTACTTAGATAGGCACACAAATGTACCTATGAGGTAGAGTAATATAGAGAGTGATATAGAGTAATCTAGGCTACATTTGAGGTACGGACAAGTTGTAGAGGGAATGCAGAATGGAGTTTTAACAGTCTGGTGAGAGAGAGAGAGAGAGAGAGAGAGAGAGAGATGTATTATTGACAAATTTGGTACCCCATGTCAAATAGATGAGTAATTAAGACAACTAAGGTATTGATATAAAGGCCCATATTTTAATTTTGGCAAATTTATGAAATTCAGTGATGTAAAATCTACAAGTGCTCATATCACACATTTTTTTTCTTGAAATGTCTGAAACTGTACTGTGACGGAAGCTACAAAGCATTGAAACTGCCTGAAGGATTTTGAGAGTAGGGTAAACAGAGTGATTTAAGTGGGTGGGGTCTGGAGGCAGACTTCTTGGATTATATTCCAGGCTCCACTGCTTACTAACTGTGCAGCTTTGTCCAGTTTCCCTCTCTAAAGAGGAATAATAATTTTTCCTTACCCTATAGCGTTATACTTGGAGTCAAATGAGTTAAGTAATGTAAAGTCTTTAGAACAGTGCTGGCATGCATAGAATAAGAATTTAATAACTAAATAATTTTGTTATCATTACTGTTACTATCATCTCTGTTTCTTAGATTTCTTAGAGCTAACCTGTTGTCCAGTCCACAGTAGGCCTACCAAATGTGAAAGAATGAAAGATAGGGTTAGGAGTTGAAAAATGGCCAGTAAGGAGTCAAAAAAAATGGCGGGAGGAGAGCAGGGCATGGAGAAAGGCCAGGCCTTGTGATAAACGATGTTTTCAGTCTTTGCCTGAGTGATACTTGCTTTCATTTTTAACTTAATTCCTTTATTTCCTACATCAACCAGACTCACAAATTTTGTCACTTCTTGTCCTATCTTTGTTTTTTTCCTGTCTAATCTCACTGCATACTCCCTAATCTGGGGTTTCACCACTTTTCTCAGGATTACTTCACACAAGCTTCTGAAGTGGTTTTTTTTGGCTCATCACTGTGTCAATTAAGATCTATTCTGTTCACTGTGACATGATTAATGTTCTGGAAACAGTATTGTCATCACTTCATCAACATGCTCAGGCTTCTGTGGATGGATTAAGTCTTTTCCATAACCTTGCTCTCCCCTGTCTGTCCAACCCCATGCCCCCTGCGGTGAGGGTGGTGGAGTGGAAGGAGAGCTGCATTCTTCTTACAAAGTAATTATGTGGCCTTGGGGAAAACACTCACCTTTCTGTGTCTCAGTTTATTATTCCATAAAATACGAAGAATAATAATGTTAAATATTAAAATATAGATAATAATAATCCATGATCCAAAGAAAAAATGTTAGTATTTTCTTTTTTAAAAATCCTTTAATTATAAGCAGGCTTTTCCTTTTACTTCCTGGCCAAGACACTATGCTTTGTTCCATTTAAGGCCTTTGTTTGTTGTTCTTGGCTTGGAATGCCTTTCTTCCCTGTTGTTGGTTTATTCAAATCATTCCTCAACTCCAAGATCTAGCTTAAATGCCATCTTCTTCATGAGACTTATCACCATTAGTGTAGTTCATGGCTGTCTCTTTTTTCCCATTAACCTAGTATTTTATAATGTGTTACACTACATTGGCCTCATTTTTTTCTTTTGGTGGTGCTTATACTGTCTCTACAACAAAATTAGAGATAAGGGGAAAATAGTTTCTGCTGGGTATTGAGGGGGGGGGAGCGGGAGGGGGTGGAGTGGGTGGTAAGGGAGGGGGTGGGGGCAGGGGGGAGAAATGAACCAAGCCTTGTATGCACATATGAATAATAAAAGAAAAAAAAAATCTAGCTACATTATTACAGATTAAAAGCTTAGCCTATATGCAAAATAATTAGCATGGAAGGTGATCCCAGATCTTGGAGGAACATTTGTACCTGAGCTTCCAAGAAGTTTACCCAAGATCCCAGGGCTAGATTCATCCTGCCTGTTAAAAAAATGCAAGCTCAGAATGAAGCTTGTGTCTGATTTCTTTCTTTTGGAGAAAGGAGTAGCATCCATTAAAGCATCTTTAAGAAAAAATACTAAATACTAATTAGCCTGTTTTTCATAAATGTGGACCAACCTTTAACTGAAATAACCTCTAGATATTTCTGAACTTCCTCTAGAGATTGCTAATGATTAAATGCATGGATACCTTTTCTGATCTTTTGGAACTCTTTTGTG